CTGTAACAACCAAACACCAATGCCAATCCATCTCAATTATCTGACTAGTCTAATCTTCTGGCACTTTCATCTTCTTTAACTCTCCCACACATAACCCGAAAAAATTATCAATCATGCCATATGCATCTGTTATTTTAACGCACTCACTTTTCCTGTCCCCAGCACCACATGGGCAACACTATAACACACAATTATTCGACAATACCTAGTACGACAACCATTCGCCATACCAACCACTAAACCATTCTCTTCATACAGCACATCCATCGACATATTCCTCTTCCACCAGAGCCAGTTTTCCATCCAATCTGACCAAACACAAACATATTCTCACAAACCAAAACATCCAACTAGCCACACAGCATCATATCTACATCAACAAATCTTACCACAGGGTGTACACAATTCCAACTAGGCACAAACCATCCGCAAAACCACCAAACACATTCACCAGAACCACTCCGCGCATCTATGCCAATCGAATCGCCATGACCTCTCTAATCCCGATCTTGCTCCATGTAATCCATTGCATAACCCATTTCCATTGCTCTATCCGTTCCATTAATGATCTAGATTTGTGCAAGTAAACAAGAAACAGGAAGCTGAGAATTATGGTTTTAATCAGTCCTAATGCTGTTTGTAATTAGAGTTAATGCCATCTGATTCGCTTGTGTCAACACCTCACGAGAACACATGCGTCTCCTGCATCTCAAAATGAGTCGCGGACATCACGTACGCAGCGAGCGAGCGCCTTCTGTCCAGAGCCTTCTCAACCAACGTCCCCAACCCCTCCGTCGCCCTCTCTAATCTCCCTAAGCCGAAATTAACCAGCATACTCCATATCTACACAGCACCACGACAGCACACCAACCAAACACACAAAACACATCAACAAGAAACATACCACAAGAAGACAACATTAGCCCTTACTACTATTTAAAAACATACAACTGAAAACAACTATTTTCATGTGTGCCACGCACAGTGAGGTCACAAGCCACATACAACAGCCATATGCCTATGCATCTAGACAACAGCAAACTGCATAATGCTCGAGCCGGGAAGTGCGCGAGATCTGGGGCCGTCTTTTACCCAGAAGAAAAAAGACACCAGCGCCACTGACTCCACTATAGGCCTTATATACAATGCTCTAGCTCGATCCATTGGACTAAACTCACAGCAAAAAACTGGCCCACGCAACACACTATCGCTTTGGCTCTTCCATCCGACTCAACCCAGGAACACACCTGTCTACCAAAAACCCTCGCCAACTCAGAACTACACCTATACCTTCTTCTCACCCAGCTCCTTCAATACAGTCTTCCAACTGTTCTGAGTCTTCAAACAGTACGCCCAGCTGACCTTATCTAAAGGAACACCAACGGCTCCGACTGCACGATGTCCCACGTCACCAATGGGCGCTTACATGTGACATATGGGCTCAGACAACCAACAATTAAAACCAGCTACAACACAAAACTAATATAAACAATACACTAAAAAGTATGCATCCCATAGCTGCTACAAATAGCATCTTACTAGATCTGAGAAGCGCAACACCTTGCGAGACGTATATCGGCGCCATACAGCCCGTTATCTCCCCACATTCGGGTCTGAAACCTGACCTTAGTCCCTTCTCATGGCAACAGTAACAGTAGAACTTACCTCAGCGACTCGTGTCAGTAAATTTCTCGTACGCTAAAACTATGCGGACACGCCAACACATCGAACAGTCTGGATCTCCACATCCCACCAGCACCACAGTAAAGCAACATTCCAACTGCGCGGGTAAATTCTACTTGGCACTACCACAACACCCAGCACGTCTGGAGTAATAAGCGGGACCCCTGCCAAGCACCATAAACACACAACACCACCGTACAACAATAAGTAATACAGTACAGCAAGTATTGGTACGTCTATAACACACTACACCGGATTCACATTCACGACGCATTATATATATGCCATCCCACAAATCCTATTGAGTACACACGTTAAATAAGCCGAATATATCCGTGCCTGGGGATAACGTTCCAACCTGAATTGAGCGTACTACTTTCCTGACTCACAACCGTGCCTTATTCGGCCCTCGTGATACAACAGAGACGCACTGAGAAACATCGCAACCATATCTTCAAAAATCCTGTCATCCCTGATAGCGAACACCCACTAGCATTAACACACAATTCTAGCGAGTCTCATACCAAACCTACAACGAGAAATCCAAGATTTTTTCACCTAGCAGCAGCCCCTAAGCTTCCCCAACATTCCCTATCACTTAGGTACATATACTCATTCCACTACTCGATCCTGTACACCAGCCTGGTCACGTTCTCATCTTGCACTTTGCTTATACAGTCGACTTAAATACTAATACAATCATCAATAGCCTTTAAAATATGTATGAAATCTACCTGTACTAAGTCTAGTACTACAGATATACGGAAGAAATCCATTCTGAAACCTGCATACTCGACGAGCATGATCCTCAGATTCAAATACAGCCTAGCAGGCCTCCTACGACCCGGATAAGTCAGCTTGTAGTCAGGGCGGTTTAACAAGATGGGACAATCCTCTCTAATAGCTACCACTACATACTCAATGAAGGGACATCAAACATGGCGACAAACCGGATGAAATTGACGCAGCTGTACAAGTAACTGTACCCGACCGCAGTGCCAAAAGACGCTCCCCAGAGGTCGGAAAAAACGACTCGTGAAGTCGGACACTCAAGCGACCCCGAGTTCAAGTTACCAAGGGCTACCCAAGTATCACACTAGTCAACCATGTGGTTTACATTTCTAACACCTTGTGCTCTGTGTGTATACCAAAATGAAGAAGTCTCGTGACACATAGCAATGTATACTTTACCTAGCTAGGGCCTCCGTGCTTCACAGTCTTATATGTGTAATACGCCTCATAGTTACTTTTGTACAGGCTGCTGCAGTCTACAATTGGCTAAGATGCTCCAATGTTCCGCTATGACCGAGACAATCCGAGTTTTGGCAGAAAATCAGACAGCACGTCGTTACTCAAAACAGAATACCTTCAGATATCAACTGAAAGATGATGTGCTAATATGTAATGAACCATGTAATCGCGGTGGCACCCGTAAACCCACCATACATCCCACTACTGATAACCGCACTTTACCGCGATCGTCATTTCCGTCCGTGCTCGCTCTCCGACTCCGTCGTCGTTTGTCCCAACAAACGCAAAACCCGCGGTTACTTGGCCGTTTTCCGAGACGATGTCGACGCGTCACTCCCGAGTTGCAATCGCGACTTACCAGAACAACACACCGAGACAAAACGAACGCACCACAAATGTAATGTGCAAGGAGTACAGAGTGATCACCCTACTCTGCAGTTACCCTCAGCTCTATGTAGCACTTAGCCTCTTTTAGCTCATTGTTTTAGTTTTGGCATGTAGTTTACTGTTCTCTTCAGCCTACATGAAGCTCAATTTCAGACAAAGCAGGCACACTACCTGACTAAAGTTAGTGATTAGGTAGTGTACGTACTGGAATATATAGTAGCTTAAGATTCAAATTGAATGTGTTTCTCAAGAGTTGGTGAAGACCAAAACAATGTGAGAGTGGATATTTGACTTGCATTCGTCACATGACCACAAATGTTTTCTACAAACGGATCACAAGCATATTCATCCAAAGACCCCAGTTGAAATCAGGTCAAACATCTCTTTCTTCCATTAGTATAGCAACTGTTTGTTGTATGCTGACCCCCAGTGGAGTCTTAAATTACAGGAGCATCATGTTTTAATTACTCAGCCAAATAATCTCTTGAATTTTTTTGGGTGTTAACAAGCTGCTGTGTTCTAGTCTGCATCTCCCCTGGCCTCTAACTTGAGCCTTAATGCAAGGTTACCTGAGTACGCACACACACAAAAACAGGCCACTGATCGAAAGCTATAGCACAGTGCAACATATCACTAAGGACTCACACAGATCAACAACAAAATAAAAGCACTAGAACTGTACTACCACTTTATATCCTTCTTTCTTTCACACATTTCCTTTGGATACCACCTGTTAATGGATTCAATTCAATTAAACTCAGTCAATTTGGCATAATTAATCCCTCTGAAGCGTTTCCCATTGCAAGTCAACAGGGCTGCAGATTATCTCTCATTATGATCTTTTAGTGTGAAGAATCTAAATAATGAGGAAAAAAACGCACTGCTGGAGAGAAGGTTATGTGTCTGCTAGGGGAGCTTTCACACAGTACAGAATTTGATTAATCCATAGTGTGCCACGCTGCTGTGAGAAAAAAAACGACACAAAAAATGTCACTCTTTTGGTAGAAATAAAAAGGGAGACTGCAGAGTTCTGCTCAATGTCTCTGCATGAGTGTTTGAATTGTGTTTTTGTTACAAGCAGATTGACTTCTGGGAACAATCCAGCCATTTTCAATAAAAGCATATTGCCATTTTTCTGCTCTTGTG